ATGCTTGGTACCTGCCTGACTTCATAACTATTTGTACACCAATTTTATTGGTAGAACATAGAGATTCTATTAATGTATGTTAAACACCTTCTGTATAACCTGTGTTCACAAATAAATTGATTTGATTTGATTTGATTTGATTTGAAGAAGAGTACATATTTAAGGGTTTAGAGGCTATGATTCTGTTTGGCGGGATTTCTTAGATAGGTAGCCAGGGGATGAAAATTAAAAATCTAATTAGTCCGTCAGTTAGATAATGAAAAAATATTAGACACGTATTTTTTTATTTTCTCGTATTAAGTTGCAATACTTAGATAAAAAGGAGTTAAGTTTAGGAGTGGTCGTTACGTCATAACGTGCTACAAAATGTGGCACGCTGTGACGTCACACGATATTTCAAATTAATATATCGTCGAAAGTATTTAATTTTGTGAGAAAATAAAAAATACGTGTCTATAGTTTTAAATTAATGTACCAGACGGACATTAAAATAAAATTAAGGAAACTATGCAATGCCTTTAGCCAAACGCCACTTTAGCGCTTGTCTACAGAGAGAGTAGAAATCAAAATGTATGGGGATGACACTGACAAGTGTCAAAATTTACGTCAATCCCATATAATTTGGTTTTCTATTCTACATGTAGACAAGCGCCAAGTGGCATTTGGCTACAGCTATTGAAGTTGGTTGGGATTTTTATCCATGTTTATTTGCGTATAAACTTCACATCTGCGATGTAGGTATTGCGGCGTCATCTGTCATTGATGTAATGTGTCACCAGATGTAAATATTATATACTCTCTGCCTAACCCATTCAGCAAATAAAAGCCGTGATATTATCAAATATTTTGTACAGATCTACTGTACTATCTTGTTGACCGAGTGTCTCGTGTTCGATTCGTGCTTCGGGCAAAGTATTACTGGGTTTATAAAAAAATCTCAGTAGTAGCACGGAGTCTGGAATTGTGCCCGGTATATGGCAATAGGCTCACCCCCTATTACATGGGACTCATAACATAAATAGTGAAAAGTGGGTGTTACATTGTACAGTGGCATTAAGTGCTGTAATGTGCACCTCTGCCTACCCCTTCGGAGATAAAAGGCGTGATGTTATGTTATCTTATATCTACTATAATTTTATGTTTGTAAAATATAAGTTAAATACATAATATATTATTGTTTAGTTAAGTCACTACAGTCTTTATTAATTATTAATTAGAAATTACCGTTATATTGGACAAATAAGCACCTCTGCCTACCCCTTCGGGGATAAAAGGCGTGATGTTATATTATGTAAGTAACTCGTAGTTTTTAGTCAATTCAATGTTTGACTAAAATAGGTTACTTTTTATTTTATTTATTAAATGAACGACTATGTAAAGATAGCACGGAAGAAAGAGGCTTGCATTACAATTAAGTAAATATCCTTATTTATATATTTTTGCGAAAATATCGCTTTATATCAAAAGCAAGTATTTTGACTAAGGATGTTAAAAATATGGCAATAGGCTCCCCCCTATTACATGGGACTCATAACATATATAGTGAAATGTGGGTGTTACATTGTATAGTGGTATAATGTGTAATTCGATACCGTAAAAAAATAAAAATAGGTGTCTAATGCTTTTAAATAATCTACCAGACGGACATTACAATAAAAATTAGTCATCTACCCTATGTAGGCTCTCCTCTCTTAGCCCTCCCCTACACTCCCCTAGCGCGCTACATATCACACAGTTTGTTACTCTCAGTAATTACAGCTGTGTACAGTCCGTCACTCAATAAGAAAGACGGAGGATTTTTATATAATATATTGTATTCTAATATAACTGCCTCGTTGGCCGAGTGGTCGTAAGTGCGACTGCCGGGCAAGGGGTCTCGGGTTCGATTCCCGGGTCGGGCAAAGTATTACCGGGTTTTTAAATATTCTCAGTAGTAGCACGGAGTCTGGAATTGTGCCCGGTATATGGCAATAGGCTCACCCCCTATTACATGGGACTCATAACATAAATAGTGAAAAGTGGGTGGTACATTGTACAGTGGTATAATGTGCACCTCTGCCTACCCCTTCGGGGATAAAAAGGCGTGATGTTATGTTATGTTATGTTATGTATTCTAATATAAATAAACACAAGATTTGTATACCAAAATAATACCTACATGTGATTCTAGTTTAGTTATAAATGTAATTATAAGTAGCATTGTATAAAACTGTTTTTGAAATAAAGTTTGTTTTTGAAAAGTTGATTGGTTTTATTTTCCAAAATATTTTATTGGCAAGAGATCTGTAATTTTGACTAATGGTTTTTTTATAAGTGAAACAAGTGAAACAAGTGAATTTATTTCTGCAAATAGGCTACAAGGCAGCACTTTTACACGTCAATTTTATCAAGCGAACGATGAGGCCGACATTTCCTAACTGACTACTCTGAGAAGAAATGCCGAAACAAACTCAGAGGTCTGTCTCTTTTAAAGTCCAGACAAATATGTATAAAAAGATTACGTGTGAGAACCGTGCAAGTTCTTTCTGTAGTGGCCTTTTGAGGAAAGAACCACAACAGTTTGAGCGGACCCGTTCTGAAGGCAGTACGCATGTGTCGGTTTACAGTCAGCTCAATTAACAGATGAGGCTGAGTGATTCGACGAACAATACCAACCTAAAGAACATTTGCGTGGGTCGCACAAATACTCAAACTGTCAGAGTATGAGTAAGAAATAAGAAAAGAAATGGCGGGGCAAAGTCTCGCACGGTCCTAGCACTAACAATTGTAAAAAATAGAGGTAAATGTCAAGTTTAAAAAAATATAAATTTTTCAAATGAAAAACAATATCACATTATGCTAATAATGTCAAATTGCAGATAAAAAGAAATGTAACTATATGTTACAAACATGTCAACATGACCTGTGTGGACGTTACAGCGGCTTATTCCCAAGCCAGACTATCATCTAGGTAGTCTTTTATTTTATAAAAAGCTTTACTAAAAAGTTTATCTTTAATGACATTTTTAAATTTATTTAGACTCAAATTTTGGATATGGCTGGAAATTTTATTGTAAAAGCGTATACTCTGACATCTAAACGAACCACTTATTTACTTTAGTCTAGTAGTGGGAACAACATATTTGTCTTTATTTCTCGTGTTGATATTATGTATATCACTATGCTTTTTAAATAAACTTTTGTTTTTATGAGCATATACTACATTTTCATAAATGTATTGAGAGGCAACAGTCATTACATTAATTTCTTTAAATAGTTCCCTGAGAGAGTACCTCGGACTAAGATTATAAATTGATCGAATGGCCCTCTTCTGCAAAACAAAGATAGATTGAATGTCAGCAGCATTCCCCCATAGGAGAATACCGTATGACATAACACTATGAAAATAACTAAAGTATACTAATCGCGCTGTATCTACATCGGTTAAATTTCTAATTTTTTTAACGGCATATGCTGCAGAACTGAGCCTTTTCGATAACTTATCTATATGTGGAGCCCACTGGAGCTTAGCGTCTAGGGTTATACCTAAAAAGACAGCAGAATCTACAGGGCCCAACTCCTCACCCTTAATTAACACGCTGGTCTTTACATGTCTAACATTTGGCGTTGTAAACTTAATGCATTTAGTTTTAGTTTCATTTAGTAGTAGATTGTTGCCACTAAACCAATGTACTATCTCCGAGAGAGCGCTGTTTACATTATCAATGACTAATTGTCTACGTTTAAGTTTGAATAATAACGAAGTATCATCCGCAAACAGTACTATCCCGTGGTTATCCTTTACAAGGTAAGGCAAGTCATTTATATATATAAGAAACAAAAAAGGGCCGAGAATTGACCCCTGCGGAACCCTCATCCTGACAACAGACCCGGCGGAGACTTTTCCGTTTATCTCGACTCTCTGAATCCTGTTACTCAAGTATGAGGTAAGAAGATCCAGAGATTTACCTCTTATTCCATAGTGGGATAGCTTCCTGATCAATATATCATGAAGGACACAATCGAACGCCTTGGATAAGTCACAAAAAATGCCCAAAGCGTCGCTTGAGTCCTCCCACGCGTCATATATGTGATTAAGAAGTTCAACACCGGCATCAGTTGTTGAACGACCCCTGGTAAAACCAAACTGGCTACCATGTAACAATTTATTTCTATTAAAAAAATCTTTGCATTTGATTTAGAATAATTTTTTCAAAAATTTTACTAAATGTAGGCAGTACTGAAATAGGTCTAAAGTTAGTGGGGTCAGAAGTACTACCTGATTTAAATAACGGAGTTATTTTACTATTTTTCATAAGATCAGGAAACACACCGCGGTCGATACAGTTATTAAAAATTAGAGCTAATAAAGGTGCTATAATAGCTATAACAGAGCCGGCGATGTACACAGAATTACCAACATACTTCGTTGACGTTGGTCGACGTTTGACCACCATCTCGCCTGGTGGTAAGCGATGATGCGGCCGACGATGGAGCACGCCTACCTATGAGCAACCTGTTCACTCGGGACTTGAAGTCATATTTGACGGGAAACAGACTCCGGCAAGGAATTCCATTCCTTAGCGGTTCGCATGGTAATAAACTCACTTCTATATTACTAGAAACTTATAACATAACTGCTGACATATAGGTTTTACAATCCTTACTTATATTATAAATCGGAAAGTGAGTTTGTTTGTTTGTTCCACTTTCGCGCCGTAACTACTAAACCGATTGCTTTGAATTTTTGCAGACGTAAAGTTAGAAGTCTGGATTAAATAATAGGGTACTTTTTATCCCGGAAAAATTTGATATTCTCGAGGGAAAACGAAATTATTGGTATAGATGGCGCTGTGTGTATTGGTATATGTCACATAGGCTACTTTTTATCCTTTTGTGACGCGAGCGAAGCCGGGGGTGAAAGCTAGTTATTTATATAGCTTCGAAGATTAAAACAGTTAGTTTGTTTTTGATCGGAGAAAATCATCGAATGACTCGCCTTAGGTGAGGCGAGAGGGAGTGTCAGACTCTTACTATACACCACCCCGTTCCTACCCCTGCTTCGAGCGGCTATAGTAACCTGCTTGGAGGATTGAAACATCTGCTATTATGTTATCGTGCTAATTTATTATATTCATCCAAAATTTGCATAACAAATATCATTTCGTCTAACGTTCTTTTTGCTTCTTTCTTATGCTTCTTCATATACAGTATATAGTTATCTTCTAGGCCGTATTTAGTCCCTTCTTCGATCAGTACAAATAGTCTTAATACACTCATATGGAGAAGTAATTCTATAAGATTTTTATCTTCTGTGTTTATATAAAGGTCTTTTAGATTGTCGTACCAATGTTGGTTCTTGTATTTCGTTATTTTCGCTACGTTTTTCACTGCATCGTGTAGCTGTAATATCGAAAATTAGTACATAAAATTAGTATGTAAGTTTTGTTAAATATGTTTAGGGAATGATGGGTCTGGCATGGTCTTTTTGTGACCAAAATACTGTAAATTAATAAAGATAATAAATAAAAACTATGCACTAAAATTCAACTTCCCAGGGACATGAACAATTTGTCTTTTATAATAAAAATAAAAATAATTTATTTCATTAACTATTATGTACATACCAACAAAATATTAGGCATTAGGTTAAGCAAGAGTATGCTTGTGGTAGGCGATCCTACTATACCAAGGACGTCAACTAAACATAACTTTAAAAAATAAATAAAAAGAAAGAAAATTAAAATTAAACAATTATAAACTGAAAACTAAAAGGGAATAAGTAACGTGAAATTAACTCGTCGAGTACCGGTTTTATAGACACAAATAAAGAACAATAGGTCGCGGTCACCGGTGACCGCTTGGTGTTTGACAGTTTAATTAGTTCGCACACTGGGTGTATGTAATGTATGAAGGAATATATGAATGTTTAACCTGTGTATTAGTGATTGTGCTAGTATATCTGTCAATGTATGTTTAGTGTTGTTTAGTTTTTTTTTATCTATGTGAACGTACACAGGACAGGCATTGAAGTAATGCTTTTTTGCATTTATGTGAATTCATAGAATATATGTTATGTCTTTGTCTTTTATGTATTTCAGTAGTAGCACGGAGTCTCTAATTGTGTGTGTATATGGCAATAGGCTCACCCCCTATTACATGAGACTCATAACATAGAACGGGGTCCCTTCCAGTCGAAGGCCCGTGGCATTTTAATGACTTGCCACCCTGTAGTTACGCCACTGGCTGGATACAATCCCCTTTTTCCTGCCATACATCTTAGTTTTGGTATCTCTCAATTTGACTAATCAAAACTGTTACAACTAATATAATTACATTTCAAAATGGCGTACCTCATACAAATCATCTTCAATGCTCATCAAGAACTTGTTCAGCTTCCTCATAGCTCCTATATCATACACATCAGGGACCTTCTTCCGTAGATGCAACCAGACTTTGTTTATTAAACCCTTTTCCTTTAGGACTTTCTGACTATTTTGATTTAATGCTAGCTTCTTTCCCAGCTCCGCCCCAAAATCATTTGCTTGAATTATTTCTGTTGCTAGTTTGTGCAGGAATATGACGTATTTTAGGATTTCCAAGTCTGCTGGGTGGACTTTGCGTCTCGCTGCTACTAACCCGCTGAAATTTTTTGTTAAAAGTATTGTTTTAAATTATTTGAGATAAGGTCAATTTCAAAAATATAAAATTACTAGCGGTCCCAACAGACATTGTCCTGCATATCCACTTGAATGTATAAACAAAAATTCATTCAAATTAGTTCAGCTGTTTAGGATAAATAACCTAAACATCGACTGTACCGCCATCTGCCGGACTGATCTGTGAATCAAAACCATTCCCAGATCCCCTTGAACACACACAAAACATTTCATCAAAATCGGTCCAGTCGTTTGAGAGAAGTTCAGTGACATACACACTCACAGAAGAATTATATATAGATTTACTGGACTTGAAACTTTTGTGATGAAATTTGTGTGATCATTATTGCCACAGTCATCAATATCATCTATAAAGTCCACAGCTAGACTATGAGTATCCTCTACATGACCTAATCTCATAATCATTCCACTCATTCGCACGAAGCATTTCGCTACAAGTTTCCTTGTTCGAACCGCTAAGGCGTGGAATTCCTTGCCAGAGTCTGTATTTCCTGAGGTTGCTCGAGGTTGCTCATAGGTAGGGATTTGTTTCGTTGGCCACATCATCGCTTACCATCAGGCGAAATGGTAGCTAGACGCCATTACCTATATTATATTAAAAAAAAGATATATAAGATATAATAGAGACAGAAGTTGAATTGTTCAGGTTTATCAGAGAATACTGTTGCCCGATCATTGTCTTACGACATCTGTGGGAGGATGAATAGTATCACATAGAATTACTTACGTTAACTCAAATATTTTCCGCAACGCCGATTGTATATCAACAGTGGAACCTAACCAGTCATATTGTTTTAATGCATTATTATCCGTATTGACCATATCCTTCAGCACATGTAGATAAACACCTAACTTTACTCCATCTTTTCTTCTATTGTTTAGGTTCATATTTAAATTCTCTCTTAAGTTATCACCTTCAGGCAATTCTTTAAGTAATGCTGATTTAATTTCTTGTTGATTATCTAGTGGATCTATGTTACGGTGAGGTTTAATATCTTCAGGGATTACAATTTCAGGTAAAGGTTCTTGGGTTTCTACTGCAATATCTTCTCCATGTTTGGTAATTACAGTATGTTTCCCTTTCTCTTGTCCATTCCAGATTGATGTTTCTCCTCCATTCAAAAGCTGTTGTTTGTCAGCGCTATTGTGTGCAGAGAAACTGTGTACATTACCGAAACTATTTTGTGTATTCGCAAAAGTATGTGTATCTCCAAAATTGTGTTCTGCGAAACTCTGTACTTTGGTTTCATTTTGTGTATTTGGAAACGGATTAGAGAAGTGTGCATATTCACTCTGTGACTGTGGAGGTAGTTGCGGAGGGGGGAAAGGAGGTAGTGGAGTAGCTGGTTTCAGTTGATCGTTGTAATTCTGTCTTTGATTCTCAATATACTTCTGAACATTTTCCTTGAAGTAATTATCCATTACGTATAGTTCCTGTGTACCGTTATTACTCTTTAAATACCCTACCTTTTTAATATGTTCATCGTTTATTACAATGTCATTGTTTTTATTTTCAGTTCCCAGTATAGTTTGTTCTTCCTCACTTTTATGTTCCTTTTGTTTTTTAGGTACGTGCTGCGTCTGTTGTTTCTTATTTTTGACAGGATCATTTTGACCGGGGTTGTCGGACACAGGAACACCATATCTTAATGCCTGAGGTTTTTTCTTATATTTACCTACATCGATCTGTCTCAATCCTCTTTTATAGATATTTGAACGTTCTCCATGCCCTTCGTGGCCATATTTGTCTTTGTCGAGAAGGCCGAAAGATTTTTTATGGAACAGTATATTTCTGACTGCTCTAACGTGATCTTTGAGACTGCCTTCTTGAATGCTGTGAGCCGGATGGTCATTTTCATTCGAATTCGGAAAGGAGTTGCCGTCATTTTTATAAGCCCTTCGTTTATTATTTCTTAGTCTACCAAAATAATATTCAGCATCTGCATAATCTTCAGGGTTAAATTGACCAGGTTTTTTACTATTGTAATTTAATATCGGCTGTTTGTGAATGCTATGTATGTCTCTTTGTTTACTGCCAAATTTCTTTCTTTGATCATCGAAATCTGATTCGTTATATTCCATATCAATAGGCAGTTTGTTATTAATTGTGGTTTCTTTATCAATATTTTCATCAGATTCGTCAGATTTTTCTGGTTTGGATCTTAATTGTGGTACGTCTTCAGCTTCGTCATTGGCTTCAATATCTCGTTTTTCTACGCTGGTATCTCCTGGATTTGGGCCCAAACGGTTTTGTGGGTTAAAGTAGGCATTGTTTGGTGAGTAGTTGTATATTGGAACGTAATATGGTTGCTCTACCATAGACTGTTCGTCTCTAATAAATGGCGTTTTGTCGGCACCTGTAATAAAAATTATACTTTAGTGCTTTAGACACCTAATAATGGCAAGAACCAATTTGACAAGACTTTTTCCGAGTTATATTTACTTTCTAAGATTATTCAGACACCACTGACAAACGGTGAAGGAAACCATCGTGAGGAAACCTGGGCTTATAATTTCTAATTTATAAGTTTGTAATAGCCAACCCACATTGAGCAAGCGTGGTGATCAATGCTCAAACCTTCTCCGTGTGAGAAGAGGCTTTGTTCAGCAGTGGGCATTTATAGGCTGTTGAGTTGCGAGCTTTTATTTTACTTGACTCGTAGCAATTGGCATTCTGTAGTTTCTGCTTACCCCCATGGGAGACAGACGTGAGATTATTTAATATGTATGTACATTTTTCACGACATATACGAAAGCACAAAATCAATCAACGAATGGATCTAACCAAGAAAGCAATATCATGCAGCGTAATGTGAAAAACTCATATATAATTCTTCTGTGAGTGTGTATGTCACTGAACTTCTCTCAAACGACTGGACCGATTTTGATGAATTTTTTTGTGTGTTCAAGGGGATCTGGGAATAGTTTAGATTCACAAATCAGCCTGACAGATGGCGCTGCAGTCGTGTCTAGGTTATTTATCCTAAACGGCTGAACTAATTTGAATGCATTTTTGTTTATACATTCAATTGGATATGCAGGACAACGTCTGTCGGGTCCGCTAGTAAAACATAATTATACTATTCTAACATACAGAGTTATCCAAAGCCAAACTACGTGGATTATTGTGTATATACATATACGTAGGTTAGAAAGAAACAATTTTTCAATTTTTATGGAATAGGAGGCAAACGAGCAGATGGATCACCTGATGGTAAGCGATCAGCGCCGCCCATGTATACCCGCAACACCATAGGAGACACAGGTACGTTGCCGGCCTTTTAAAACGAAGTACGATCTTTCCCTGATGATTTGTTTTTCACCGACAATAATAGCGCAATAAACAGTATCGTACTACAGTATCTTGATCAACTGCATACACTGATGACATCAAGAGAATCGCAAGCTTTATTGATATAAAAATTAGACTGCAAGGTTGATGCATCAGCTAATAGTTATCGGTATTTGTACCATCCAGAATTTTTTGATCCAGATCTAAATGTAATGATTGCCTCGTTAGCCAAGTGGTCGCTAGTGCGTCTCGGGTTCGATTCCCGGATCGGGCAAAGTATTACTGGGGTTTTTAAGAAAACTCAGTAGTAGCCCGGAGTCTGGAATTGTGCCCGGTATATAGCAATAGGCTCACCCCCTATTACATGGGACTCATAACATAAATAGTTAAAAGTGGGTGTTACATTGTACAGTAGCATTAAGTGCCCTATAATGTGCACCTTTGCCTACCCTTTCTGGGATAAAAAGGCGAGATGGTTAGGGTTATGTTACCTAAATGTAATGTGCGAATTATGAAGATGGCAGCCGCAGGATTTATGAGCTTGCTTAAATAAAACTCCAAGATAAATTACACGTCTGTAAACAGACACAGACATAAGAGAGAATCCGAGTGTGTATTAGTTAGAGCTGCCGGCTGATGCAGATACGGAGCCGCAAAGGACTTAACGGGTTACCGGGGCTCCGGCTCGAAGTGCAGAAGTAGAAACGGGGTGGTTTTTAGTCAGGAAGAGTCTGACACTCCTTTTCGCCTTACCCGGGAAGTCATTGGATGATCTTTCCATCTCAAGAAGCGCGAATCCTTATCCTTACTAATATTATAAATTGGAAAGTGAGTTTGTTTGTTTGTTTGTTTGTTTGTTCCGCTTTCACGCCGTAACTACTAAACCGATTGCTTTGAATTTTTGCAGACGTAAAGTTAGAAGTTTGGATTAAAAAATAGGGTACTTTTTATCCTGGAAAAATTTGATATTCCCGAGGGAAAACAAAAGTATTGGTATAGATGGCGCTATGTGTATTGGTATATATCACATAGGCTACTTTTTATCTTTTTGTGACGCGAGCGAAGCCGCGGGTAAAAGCTAGTTAGTTATATTTGAAAAATGTACTTACTAATCTCATAAACCTGGTACGTATTCCCCTTTTCAACTTTATGATTATTATCATAATATACTTTCTCTAATTCTATAAAGTTCTTATCTTTATTCGGTTTCTTCGTTATAGCTTCTTCCTTCTGTCCTTTAGGTCCTAGGAAAACCTTATCAAGCTTATGCAATTTGATTTTAGTATTCTTTGGTGTTCCCGTCTCAGTATATTTGCCGCCTTCCAGGACTTGAGGAGAATATTCTCTAGCATGATCTAAAGCTCTTTGCTGAATCACCTTTTTATCATCATTAACGTTTTTCGTATTAACCTTTTCTGTTTTATCAACTGGTGGTGAAGTGAATTCTTCTACTAAGATTTTTGTTACTGTAGTTTTTATGGACGATTCCCTTGTTAGTGAATTGCTTGTTTTGGCTTTGTCTATTTCGGTTGTTATAGGCACTGGTTTTGTTGTTCTTTCATCGGAAGATGTTATTGTTGTAGTACTGTCTGTTGCTGTAACGTCATTGCTAGTATCTGTGTCATTACTAGCTCTCATTTTAGGTGCATTCGGGTCATCACTATCTTGAACTGTAGTTGAAATATTGTTAGCACTTTCTGCGTCACTTTTTTCTGTAGCAGTTTTAGTTTGATTAGTTATAGTTTCTTCACTATTTGATTCGTCTAAGTTCTTTTCTGCCGATTTGAGACCAAATAGTTCTACAGCTGAAGTAGTAGCTGTTGTGTTGTTAATTTCTGATATATTTTTTTCGTTATCTGATCTCCTTGTCCATGGTTCCTCCATGTCACTTACAGCTCCTTCTGTATCTGTTTCTCCAGAACTTCTGCCTTTTGTTAATTCTGCATCTATTACATTTTTTAAAGTCGTAGATTCCTCTTTTTCAGTAACTTTATTCTCGCTTTTTGTTGTATCAGTACTATTTTTATCTTCATCCAAACTTTTATTGTCTGTAGATATTTCTGGTGTTAAAGTTGTATAGTTTAAAATAGTTTCTGCAGTCGTAGATCGCGTTGGTGTTTTAACAGTACTATAGTTAAAATTTTCAGTTTTGCTCTCAGATTTTACTTTGTCCAAAACCTCTACTGTGGTCTCATCACTCTCATCACTTTTAGTAGGACCATCGTCTTGAATTGATCTCTTTTTAATAGGCGGTTCATCAGTAATGATCTCAACTTTGATATAATCTTCTGAAGGATTTGCGTTACCTCTCCTATCATTACGCAAAGTCAGATCAACTTGTTCTGCATCATCATCATCAGGCACAGTTTTCTTCTCACTATCAAAAGCTTTGTTATCCTCTCCAGAAGCAGGTTTATCCATTTTATCTTTCTCATTCTTCCTTCTTCTTATATATTCTGATTCTTCTTTTAAAATAGCTTTGACGTATTCGTTGTGTTTTTTAAGCAGTTCATCGTTGATTTCTTTGCTTGTCCCTTCGGTTTTATTCTCCTGACTTTGTACGTCTTTTAGTATACGTCTAGCTACTTGTTGTATGAATTGTAGTTTCTCATCTTCTGGTAAGAGATCGAGGTATTTATTCTCATTACTCTCGGCGACTACAGAAGTGAATAATATTAGGAAGAGCACCAACATTTTACTTCATTTTGCTTTTAACCTGTGTAATTTTGTTTCAGCACTAAAATTTGGCTTAGTTAGTGAGTCCAGTCGGGCGTGAAGTAGTATTTGTTTGGCTGATAACAATAATTAGTTTCTCCAATGACATAGGGTTGAGATTTGAATTCATTTCAGTTTATTGCTTCGATAGATCGAGTTTGTAATGGATGGTCAGATAAGATGTGCCGTGACGAGATTTTGATTACTTCGTGTTCGAGTGTTTTTTGAGTAACTATTTACATGTGTAGAGTTAATACTTATAAATTGGAATATATCTAAGTCAACGAAAGATTATTAACTGAATATATGCCATCTGCTATTGATGGGTAGATTTATATTGCAGTTTGTTTATATCACTTAATATCTAATATCCCCCTTTTTATCTAAAAGAGCGTTTTACGTACCTTGGCAACACACATACGAAGTTTTTGAGATCATCGGAGAGCCTGAAATTAAACATCTGTTTGCATTCCACTACCTTTTTCGACAAGTCCTATACAGTACAAGCTGCACGGTTGTGGAATGCTCTACCGATTACAGTGAGGCGAGCTCAAACTATATCACAATTTAAAAAACTAGTTAAGGAATTTTATCTAACTCTATAGTTGTTTGTCTTTTACTTAACATGGTAACACACGTACACATACATGCATAAACGCACACACGCACACTTACACACCATTATGTTAAATTATGTATTATGTTCTATTTTATTCTTATTTATTTAGTTATTTATTTATGTAGGCATATAATATATATATTTATTTATTTTTATATATATATATATATTTTATATACATATTATGGTTTACACGGTATTATTATTATTATTTTAAAATCATTAAATTGTACACTAGACGACCCATATCTGACTCCTATTACAACTCCATCCAAAGGTTGTCTGGAAGAGATCGCCTTGTGCGATAAGACCGCCCATTGTGCACTATATCAATTGTTTGTTGTCCTTTATGTTTATGTGTTCACTGCCGAAACAATGTAATTTTTACACGTAAAAATGGCAGGCGGAGACTCGCCAACTCACCGACCGGGCCCCGGGAATGGTTGCTAGATATAGCAACAGAGGGGCAACGAGAATGTGAGTGGCTGAAGGGTTAAGAAACTACCACCGCTTTCTACTCAGATCATCTGCTCCAGCCGAAGCCTCCTGCATCCCTAGCCCACTCGCGACTTACGAATAGTTTCTTACCCTCCGAGCAGGATCACTGCTCTCGCGACTCCACTCTGGACGGCCACTGAAGGCAAGCCAGAGGTGGGAGACCTGTTCCTTGTCATCTTTCACTCCAGCCAGCCAATTAAGGCAAGCCGGAGAAGAAGGAACGGTGACTTCTCCCTGGAGCACTCGGGATGATGGTAGCCCGCGGGATCGCTAATGCCCGTCACCTCGCCTCAAGGTGCCCTGCGGGCTTATTATTATTATATTTAATATAATGTATATAAAATGTGTAAAATGTATGTAATTTATAATGATCTCGAAATCTACTGGTCCGGTTTGAAAAATGACAAAATAATTTTGTTTTGAATAGTCCATTTATCGAAGAAGGTTATCTTATCTTACTAATAATAGAAATTATGTGAAAGTTTGTGTGTTTGTGTGTACATTTGTTACTCAATCACATCAAAATGGCTGAAGGGATCGGGATGAAATTTGTATAAATTATGAACTATATATATAAATCGCGGGTCAGTCACGTAAAGATACTGAAATGAGCTCTACTAGTTTCGACCCACAGAAACGTTCTTCGCCGTGAGCAGCGGGCGCAGTCGCCGCGACCGCTGCTTTGGAAGCGGGTCGGGAGCGAGAGAAGCTGTTCGCTTATGCCTTGGCGGAATTGACCCTGTTGAAGGTGGTGGAGGTGGCAGAAAGCGTCAAGTGTGCTAATGGCGGTCTGCAGTTTTAGTTGTTCCTGCATGTAAAAATTTAATACAACAATAGGCGCTTTTCTCAGTACTTTCGCTTTAGTTAATTTAGTATGTCTCACGATAGTTATTATAGGGATAGATTATAGTCTGGAAGAACACATAGGCTACTTCTTATCCCACGAAGCCGTGATCGAAGCCGCGGGCAGAAGCTACTAGGTAAAACATCACGCTACGCTCAATAGGAGCCGAGCAGAGGATAAATGTCGTGGTGGCCCGGAGGTTTAAGACGCCCACTTCTCATGCATGAGGGTGGGGGTTCGAAACCTACCAACGGCAAGTACCAATGTGACTTTTTCGGAGTTATATGTACTTTCTAAGATTATTTAGACACCACTGACAAACGGTGAAGGAAAACTATAGTTTTTTCTTCTCCTCTTATAATATCTTCTGATTCATTTCGTTGCGGGAACCAAGACAGTTACTCATGTCCCTGGGACGCGCCGGACTTCAGTGTTCCGGTGTTTTCATGGTTGTATCTACTGTAGATCCTGGCTTACAGGAGTTGCAGCGGTTTTGGGAGGTTGTGGCGGGCTTGTCCCATTATAAAAAAAAAAACGGTGAAGGAAAAACATCGTGAGGAAACCTGGGCTTATAATTTCTAATTATAAGTTTGAAATCGCCAACCCGCATTGCGCAAGCGTGGTGATTAATGCTCTAACCTTCTCCGTGTGAGAAGAGGCTTTGCTCAGCAGTGGGCATTTATATGCTGTTAATGATGATGATGATGATGAGAGCATAAAATCGTGCTGAAGTAGCTACTTTAGCTACTTACTAGCCAGTAAGTATTTTTTTTTTAATGGGACAAGCCCGCCGCAACCTCCCAGAACCGCTGCAACTCCTGTAAGCCAGGATCTATAGTAGATTTGTATCTACTATAGATCATGGCTTACGTTTTCATGGTTGTCCATGAAAACATCAGAACACTGAAATCCGGCGCGTCCCAGGGACATAAGTAACTGTCTTGGTTCCCGCAACGAAGTGAATCAGAAGATATTATAAGAGGAGGACTTTCATCTCTGCACCACCTTAAGGTCGACTGGAAGACAATGCCCAAGGCATTAAGTCCAACTGTATATATGTCTTTGTACGAAGTATAAATAAAATAAAACGAAAATTTAAATTAAATGAACGTTTTCATTTATTTCAACTTAGAATGCTTTTTATTTACAATTTGTTTTATTAACTTAATGTGAACTTAAATCTAACTTAAATATAGTTGTTGGCCACGTCGATAACTTAATTTCTATAAAAAAATCATTATCTTATTTAATTTTTGGTCTAACTTATTTTCAAAAATGTGTATTTTTGAGCAGCAAAAGGCAAAATGTAACACCCACTATTCATCCGTTATGTTATGAGTCCCATGTAATAGGGGGTGAACCTATTGCCATACACCGGCCCCAATCCCAAACTATAAAAAGTCCTACAAAGAATTTCCAAAATCGAAACTTTCTATAACACTTTTTCCAGCTCGGAATCGAACCTGAAACCTCAATCATCATATTTGACAACCAACAAGATAAAAAAATAATAGATTTTCGAAATCGAAGATCTCCAATAATGTTTCCCGATGCGGGAATCAAGGGTTGTCGCGTTAGACAACTATCTAATGAGGCTGCTGAAAATAGTGATAGACCAAAAACTAAAATTTCCATAATTAAACATCACTCCTGAACCTAAAAGTCTGCCTTCTTAAAACCCTCTCATTCCTCATTATTTCCCTCCCTTTTTCCAGTTCTCTTCCATCATCAATATCTCTTTCATTATAATTATCTGCTGTTTCATTATCGTTATCTACTCTATCGTTATCATTATCTCTTCTGTCACTATCGTTATCTCTTTGTCCGTACATATCTTTCATGTTCCTCATATTCTTCTCCATTACAATTCTGTCTAATTCTTCTTCATTCTTTTGTTCTGTTTCCGCGTCCTCTATCTCAGAATCTACGTTTTCGATTACAGCTTCTAACAGTATGGGTGCATCATCAGCTTTTTGCGGCAATGATGGTTTTATATGTTCTTTCAAATCGTCTTCTATATCTCTCATTTCTTCTTCCATAATAGAGTTATGCATGATGATGTTCTCCCGTCTTTTCTCCGGCTTTCTCTTTTGGATTTTTCTGTTGTTCTCTTTCTTTTCTTCTTCTTTTTTCTCCTGTTCCTTGCCAATCTCCATGTTTAGGTGGTAGAAGTCGGGAGAATCTTTGCAGTCAATTGAGTCGGCTGCAAATGTGCAGGTTAGAACTTCCTGTAATTTGAAATTTCATGATTAAGTTTCATATGTTTGTTAAGATATGTGTGTTTAAAATAATATAAGGAAAGGATACGAATTTCGTGTGACATCGTGTGTATCGTGTATGTATAACATCTGATAATTTTGTACATTAATTTGGCGGCAAAATAATGAGCCTAAATTATTATAACTGTGCGAACTACTTGTATTTTTTACGCAAATAAATTATTTTTGATTTTGATAACCAACCGATGATTGTCATTGTCTATCGCTTCACTGAATTGTAATCTTTTAACGTAAAGTTATATAACATCACCTTTTAATCCCAAAGGGGTAAGCAGACATTTGCCACGTAACATATACTTTGCCCCAGTTGTCTTTAAAGTACCATGTAATAAGGACTAAGCTTATTAAACCTAAAACTTCTCCTAAGTGTATCACACACTTTAGTGAATACCACATCAAAATCGGTTCAGCCATTTGCGAGATAATCGCGCACAAACATTGCAAGTCAAACTTCGAACCTTCTTTTGTGAAGTAAGTGTGGGAGAGCCATGTTTCGGCACAAATGGGCCGGCTCGACCGGAGCGATACCACGGCCGAGCAGAAAACCGACGTGAAGCAACGCTTGCGTTGTGTTTCGTCGTGTGAGTGAGGTTACCGGAGGCCCAATTACCTTCCCCTTCCCCTTCCCCTTCCCCTATCTCCCCAATTCCTGAATCCCCAACGACCCTCAAACTCCTAATCCCCAAAAGGTCGGCAACGCACTTGTAACGCCTCTGGTGTTCCAACTGTCCATGGGCGATGCCGATTGCTTACCATCAGATGATCCGTCTGCTCGTTTACCGGCTTATGCCATAAAAAAGTCGGTTAAAAACATGTTAATTTCTTACCTGATTAAAAACAGTCTGATTGGGACAAATGAAGCTCCATCTGTACGTAACATTGCGACCTGAAGGCGTTTGAGAAGGTAGGCAGACATGGAACACTTGGCAATCATTGTCCACGTCAGCGTAGTAGCCGTAGGTTCGATTCTCGCAGCTGTGGACAAAGACGGGCAAAAACCTTCTTACTAATATTACAAAAGAAATGTGAGTGTGTGTATGTGTGTGTGTATGTTTGTTTGTTACTTAATCACCTCATAACAGCTGAAGGGATCAGGATGAAATTTGGAATAGTGGTAGATTGTGGTAGATTGTGGTCTGGGATACAACATAGGCTACTTTTTATACCATGGTAACGCGGGCGAAGCCGCTGATCGAATCTAGTTAGAAATGTTTTTATTAGGCAAAAGCAGTTATGTATGAATTTCATGTCATATTGATAAAAAATACAAACTATCAATGATTTAAAACTCTGTGCTGTTATTAATAATTTCGAAAAAGATAATAATTAATTAAAGTATAGGTAATTTTCCTGACTCAGGTATCAAACCTAAGACCCCTTGCTCAGCAGTCGCATTTCTTACCACTCAACCAACGAAATCTCATAAATTAATCACCATTTATGTCATGAGTCCCATGTAATAGAGGGCGAGCCTATTCCATATACCGGATACAATTCCAGGCTCCGTGCTATTAGCCGTGGAAGACTTAACGGATAACCGGGGCTCCGGCTCGACGTGCAGGAGTAGGAACGGGGTGGTTTTTAGTCAGTAAGAGTCTGACACTCCCTCCGGCCTCATCCGGGCGGGAGCAGTCCTGGATGATTTTCCCCCCTCAAAAAAAAGGCTCCGTGCTACTATTGAGATTTTTTTAAATCCAAGTAATACTTTGCAGTCACACTTGCGACCGCTCTGGTTAAAACACAAACTCAAAAGCATTTAGATATTTCAATTAAACCATAATTTGGTACTATTGAAACGTCAACAAATATAAAATAAATAATAGTCTGTCAGTCGGTCCGTCAGTGAAGCTAGACGCTCGTTCCAAAATGTCGATTCGAATGGAGAAGAACGAGCAAGAAACTCCATTCGTTACTCTTTTAAAAAAAAGTCTGTTTACATTGCATATATATCTGATACATATTTCAATATTGTACACACATGTGAGAATAATGTAAAGACCTGACGCAACATACAAATGACATAAAAAAGTGATATTCTCACCTGAAAGTGTCAGTGATATTTTCTCGGATAGAAGAAGCGTTTGCTATCAAGTTCAGTGTATCAGTCTTCGTATTGTTTGTCACCTCCTGAAAATTATGAAACATACTGTAAAATACACTACTACTATAAATAACATAACATCACGCCTTTTATCCCCGAAGGGTAGGCAGAGGTGCACATTATGCCACTGTACAATGTAACACCCACTTTTCACTATTTATGTTATGAGTCCCATAACATACTACTACGTGCTACTACTGAGATCTTTTTTAAAAACCTAGTAGTACGTTGCCCGACCCGGGAATCGAACCCGAGACCCCTTGCCCGGCAGTCGCACTTGCGACCACTCGGCCAACGAGGCAGTCAACGTACTATAAAGTAGGTTCTATTTTCTATTTTAAGGCATTGGTAAGCCGAGCCTTCTCCCACCTGAGTGAGGCGGGAGGGAGTGTCAGACTCTTACTGATTAAAAACCACCCTACATAACATCTTGTGTTTTCTTAAAATGTAAGTTAAGTTATACAAGGTGTTGTTTTAAAGCCGCGTCATTTTCTAGGAGGTAACTCGGCTATCGATTCTGAGTCCGAATCAATAAAAAAAATTGTAGGTAAATATTTTTTATTTTTCTGTAAATTACGGAAATCCGTAAGTGCGAACTACACGCCGCCGTCTTATACTGGTTTTTATAACGCGGCTTAACACACACAAACTCAAACACGTAATTGATATTATTCCTAATTCCATAAAACTCCAACAAGAAACATTACTGTCGCTTATTCTGAAATACTGTCGAACTTAAACGATTTATTATAGCCGTATTTTTAACTATTGGCCCTAAACTTTCTCTTACATTGAACCTTTATGACTTCTGTGACATGCCCCCAAGAAATGCCACGGTTTCAAAACTACACCTTGTATAAATATCATTTATTTCATTACTCTGGTCGACGCATCTCGAGACCAGAGGGCTGGTCTGTTTCTTGGACAGAGGTAAAGCATTGCCATATAACAGAGAAAATCTTAGGGTGGGGCAACGTTTTTTTAAAAACAGAAAACAGAAATACAGAGCGTCGAACGCCGTCTCGTTTTGATTACCTACTTAAGACGAAAGACATACTTAGGGCCTCTGATTGGTCGACTTCAAGGAACCAACCAATCGAAACGCCGTAAAACAAACATGTACTGAACCCTCAGTTATATTCGGAGTCCCATGTAGTAGGTAAAAATAATAATAAACTATAACTTACTCTCAAATTATTAATTGGAACAATTTGTCTCATCTGTACATTGACTCGTTCAGTCTGCACGAAGGTTATCAAGAAGAGGATCAGCAGATGTCTAGGTCGAATCAACGCCATTTTGTTTCGCACCTGAAAAATAAATGTTTTTGAAGTGTCAACAAAAGAGTTCAAAAACTATTTGCATTTATTTTTTATACGTTAATATGTGGTTGGTTTGACAGAAGTTACACATTTTTTAAGAGCGTAAAATCATCGTATTACTTCTATCGCCTGGGTGAGGCGGGAGGGAGTGTCAGACTCTTACTGACTAAAAACCACCCCGTTACTGCTCCTTCACTTCGAGCCGGAGCCCCGGTAACCTTTTACGTTTTCTGCGGTCCATATAGCCGTATTGGGCCCTATCTGTGGTAGTCTGATGGCTCGTGGACAGAAGTTATACTTGCGATCATCCTTACTATATAATATTATAATATATGCCTCTAATATATATATATAATATTATAAATCTGAAAGTGAGTTTTTTTGTTTGTTCCACCTTCACGCCGTAAGTACTAAACCGATTGCTTTGAATTTTTGCAGACGTAAAGTTAGAAGTCCGGATTAAATAATACGGTACATTTTAACCCGGAAAAAATTGATATTCCCGAGGGAAAACAAAAGTATTGGTATAGATGGCGCTGTGTGTATTGGTATATGTCACATAGGCTACTTTTTATTATTTTGTGACGCGAGCGAAGCCGCGGGTAAAAGCTAGTAATCAATACATAGTATAAAACAAAGTCGTTATCCGCCGTCTGTCTGTCCCTATGTATGTTTAGATCTTTAGAACTACGCAACGGAATTTGATGCAGTTTTTTAATGGATAGTTTGGGACAAGCCTCAAAACCTCCCAAAACCATTGCAACTCCTGTGCACCAGGATCTACAGTAGATACAACCATGAAAACACCAGAACACTGAAGTCCGGCGCGTCCCAGGGACAAAAATTATCTTGAATCCCACAACCAGATAAATCAGAAGATATTATTTAGAGGAGAAGAAAACAAATCTAAACAGAAATATAAAGAAATCCCTTTACCCTATCAACACGACGAATGTAAGAACTTAACACACACTTATTACAACAAAACAAAAACAAAAAAAAACACTATTTTCGAAAAATCCAATTTTAAAATTAATATTTCAAAGACTTGTGTACGCTTACCCGGTTTACAGGTCAATGGTACCTCGAAATGAACAATAGGCATTATATACAGATCAAAATAGTGCACCAAACTCCTTCATCAAAATATTTATAAAAAAAAATATAAAAAAAAACATTATTCTGATCATAAACCTATTGTTTCGTGTTATTGAATGGTATAGACTAAACCACGGGTTATTCAAGTGTAGTAATGGTTTAAATGCTGTTAACAAACACTAGATCATGATCAAAACTGAATTATATCATCGATTAATTCATCAGCCGAGTGTGCAAGTGCAAGGGGTGTCGGGTACGATTCACGAGTCGGGCAAAGTATTACTGGGTCGTTATAAAAAAATTCTCAGTAGTAGCACGGAGTCTGGAATTGTGCCCGGTATATGGCAATATCTCATTATTACATGGGACATAACATAACATCACGCCTTTTATCCCCGAAGGGGTAGGTAGAAGTGCACATTATGCCACTGTACAATGTAACACCCACTTTTCATTATTTATGTTATGAGTCCCATGTAATAGGGGGTGAGCCTATTGCCATATACCGGGCACAATTCCAAACTCCGTGCTACTACTGCGATTTTTTTAAAAACCCCGTAATACTTTGCCCTTCCCGGGAATCGAACTCGAGACCCCTTGCCCGGCAGTCGCATTTGCAACCACTCGGCCAACGAGGCAGTCATTATTACATGGGACTCATTACATAAATAGTGAAAAGTGGGTGTAAAATTGTACAGTGGCATTAAGTGCTGTAATGTGCACCTCTGCCTACCCCTTCGGGAATAATGTTAATTCATATCACATCAACACTAACACTGGACTATGAGCCTCCTCTACATAAGAGGGTTTACCATAGTCTCTAGGCAGGCGGGTTGGAGTCCGCAGTATAAAAGGTTCAGGTTTATCACAGAGCGCTGCTGCCCGGTCTCTGTCTAATGTGTAGTCCCTTAGTCGGGTATACGACACCCGCGGGAAGAATAGAGGTGGTGACAATCCGCAGTATAAAAGGTTCAGGTTTATCACAGAGCGCTGCTGCCCGGTCTCTGTCTAATGTGTAGTCCCTTAGTCGGGTATACGACACCCGCGGGAAGAATAGAGGTGGTGACAATCCGCAGTATAAAAGGTTCAGGTTTATCACAGAGCGCTGCTGCCCGGTCTCTGTCTAATGTGTAGTCGCTTAGTCGGGTATACGACACCCGCGGGAAGAATAGAGGTGGTGACAATCCGCAGTATAAAAGGTTCAGGTTTATCACAGAGCGCTGCTGCCCGGTCTCTGTCTAATGTGTAGTCGCTTAGTCGGGTATACGACACCCGCGGGAAGAATAGAGGTGGTGACAATCCGCAGTATAAAAGGTTCAGGTTTATCAGAGAGCGCTACTGCCCGGTCTCTGTCTAATGTGTAGTCGCTTAGTCGGGTATACGACACCCGCGGGAAGAATAGAGGTGGTGACAATCCGCAGTATAAAAGGTTCAGGTTTATCACAGAGCGCTGCTGCCCGGTCTCTGTCTAATGTGTAGTCGCTTAGTCGGGTATACGACACCCGTGGGAAGAATAGAGGTGGTGACAATCCGCAGTATAAAAGGTTCAGGTTTATCAGAGAGCGCTGCTGCCCGGTCTCTGTCTAATGTGTAGTCCCTTAGTCGGGTATACGACACCCGCGGGAAGAATAGAGGTGGTGACAATCCGCAGTATAAAAGGTTCAGGTTTATCAGAGAGCGCTGCTGCCCGGTCTCTGTCTAATGTGTAGTCGCTTAGTCGGGTATACGACACCCGTGGGAAGAATAGAGGTGGTGACAATCCGCAGTATAAAAGGTTCAGGTTTATCAGAGAGCGCTGCTGCCCGGTCTCTGTCTAATGTGTAGTCCCTTAGTCGGGTATACGACACCCCGGGAAGAATAGAGGTGGTGACAATCCGCAGTATAAAAGGTTCAGGTTTATCAGAGAGCGCTGCTGCCCGGTCTCTGTCTAATGTGTAGTCCCTTAGTCGGGTATACGACACCCGCGGGAAGAATAGAGGTGGTGACAATCCGCAGTATAAAAGGTTCAGGTTTATCACAGAGCGCTGCTGCCCGGTCTCTGTCTAATGTGTAGTCGCTTAGTCGGGTATACGACACCGTGGGAAGAATAGAGGTGACAATCCGCAGTATAAAAGGTTCAGGTTTATCAGAGAGCGCTGCTGCCCGGTCTCTGTCTAATGTGTAGTCCCTTAGTCGGGTATACGACACCCGCGGGAAGAATAGAGGTGGTGACAATCCGCAGTATAAAAGGTTCAGGTTTATCAGAGAGCGCTGCTGCCTGGATTATATCAAAACGCCTTTTTACCCGCAAAGGTAGGCAGAGATGGACACTTATGTTACGACTCCTAAAGAATACCGAGAGAGCATATTGCCATATATCGGACTTAATTTTAGGTTCAGCGCTATTTATTTATTAATAACAATATGACTGCACGGTTGGTGCGGTGGCTGGGCAACCGGCTGCCGTGCAACGTGTCGCGGGTTCTATTCCCGCACGGAGTAACTCTTTGCGTGATCCACAGATTGTTGTTCCGGGTCTGGGTGTCATGTGTATGTGTATGTTTGTAAGTAACGCACCCACGACACAGGAGATAAACCTAGTGTGGGGCAACGTTTAAAAAAAATCGAAAAAGTGATGAGTAATACTTTGATAGACCCGGTAATCGACCCTTGCAATAACTCGACCGACCGAACGACTGACAGACACAACACGATCAGTGAATTATACACATTTACCATCAACTCTTCTATCTACGTCGCTCAATAAATAAAAAAAAACACATATAATTATTTTCCAAAAAAAAAAAGATTTAAAAAACACAAAATCGTACCAACCTACTTACAACACCACCAAAAAAAAAAAATCAAAAAAAAATTCACAACAAACACAGTATGTACCTATTTTACACGGAAAATAATATGAAATTCACTTCTCTATCGATACTAGTGCGTACACCCGGATTCTCTCACAAATTCTCATGTATAGACAGGGCAGTTACTGTGTCCGTCTTTTATAAACGTCTTAAGCGAACCTTACTTGAGGAATTTGCAATGATTCTGTACGGTCAGCAGGAAAAGGACCACGTAAGTATAATTTTCTAGTATTTTTTTTTATAATTTTTTTCCCTTGTTTTTTTTTTGCCTGCTCATTGGCCGAGTGGTCGCAAGTGCGACTGCCGGGCAAGGGGTCTCGGGTTCGATTCCCGGGTCGGGCAAAGTATTACTGGGTTTGTAAAAACCTCAGTAGTAGCACGGAGTCTGGAAATGTGCCCGGTATGGCAATATGCTCACACCCTATTACATTGTCTGATTTTTCTTTATGTTTTTTAATTGATTTTTAGTGTATTTTTTTTAATGTGACATTTATTTATGTGTTTCATTTTCTCTTTTTATTCTTCTTTTTCTGTAATTGTAACTGTTTGATTCTTTTTGATTTCTCTTTGTATGTGTGTTAATGTAATTGGTGTAAAGCCGTGTTAACATAACAATAATAAATAAATAAATAAATAAATGGGACTCATAACATACATAGTGAAAAGTGGGTGTTACATTGAACAGTGGCATTAAGTGCCGTAATGTGCACCTCTGCCTACTCCTTCGGGGATAAAAGGCGTGATGATGTTATGTTGTTTTTTTTCTAATCTTTTCAAATAGTCCTAGATATGTTCTTATAAAATACCTGTATTTTATTTGTTTATCTTGACATTTCAACTGTTCATTTACTTTCTTAAAAAACATTCATATCTATATAGTACCCCCCGAGTGTACGGCGCGGAGCTCAAAGAGCCATCAGACCACCACGGATGGGACCCTATAGGGCTGATGCCGATACGGAGCCGCGGAGAACTTAACGGGTTACCGGGGCTCCAGCTCGAAGTGCAGGTGTAGGAACTGGGTGGTTTTTAGTCAGTAA